AGCACCAGCCGCTCATGCGAAGATACTGGCTGATCAAGAAGAACGAGAGATGGAGCTTTTAGCTGCCACTGTGATCGATGAACAGGTGGGTTAAATCTCAAATCTTGTCACCCGGTGCTTCTCTTGAACTTGTTTTTGAGTTTTTGCAACTCGGGTTCTAACGGAATTCTGGTCTCGGATTCGAGCAGCTGAAGAAACTGCAGAGCAAAATGAAGTTTTTGGACCATTTGGAACTGTTAATGGATATGGAAGAGAGAGAGATAGAGGCTCAGAAGGAGAGACTTCTGGATGATAGAATGGGCGTTTTGCAAAGCGCGTTTCGTGCCGGTCTAACCAAACGCTGGGATCATACCTACTTGAAATGATATTCTATTTTGTGTTGTTGGTCATGCGATTTGAACCATCCATATGAGTTATGTTTTTCATTATCCAATTTTTCACATGGGATTTTCTGTATGTTATGTATCCCACAAGTATTACGCACATTTATTACAACGTACTTGTAATGTATGTTTGTGTCCAAGTGTTGACCTTTTTACGAGTAATCGAGCAGCGAAGACATTACCATTAAGCTGTCCTGTCCCCGGTGCTGTGGCGTGCGCTGACGTCAGGCGACACCGTCCACCCCGCATTTGATGACGTCATCTCCTGGCTCAAACGCGTACCGGCGACGCCGTCACCCCCGTCCGCGATTAACGTCTCCGCCGAGAAGGTCACTTTCACTGATGGCGTTTGCTATTGGAGAACGCATAACTGAGGCTTACGGGGCTCCTTTCAAAATTTTTACAGAGGAAAAGGGGTACCATTTGCATTTCTGAGACTTACGGGGTCAGAAATCAAATTCTCTAAAAATTGTTGTATTTTTGTGAAAATATCTCGTAAAAATCTTAAAATGAAAAAAAAACACTAAATGATTATTAATGGGTCTAAAGGCCCATTAGTTTTGGGGGCCTCTTCACTTCAGCTTTTCTTTTTTCGTCAGGGTCTCCATTTCGCTCTTCGTCTCCACTTCGCAGTGAGATCTCTGGAAAGCGGGATTCCGCAGGTAAAAACCCTAATTTCTTCTATCTGGTTTCTCCAGAAATTTGTTTTCGCCTTTTAACTTCTCATTCTTCCACCTTTCTCGTTTCCAGTTTCAATCTTATCGGCGAATTTTCTCCGGCAGAGTTCATCGAGTCAACATGAGGTGTTTCTCTAGGGTTCTCAGTTCCTTCTACTCTTTTAATGGGCTTGTTGTCAAGTTTCTAACATTTTGTTTTTCTTGATTTTGTCTCCTTGCAGTCGTCCGATGGAAGAGGATACCAACGTAAGTAGATTTCTCGCTGTTGTCTCGTTTCTGCTTTGTTGTTTTACCTATAAGGGCCTTTTTAGCGTCAAACCGTAGTTCGCTCGTACCAATGAAATATTCCGGCTATTGTAGTACTCGAGGAACCTTGTAACAGAGCCGATGTGAACTCGTTGGCGTTTTTTGTCTGCTTGCTCCTCCGATTTACTTATTGGGTTTTCGAAGTTCCAAAATTCAAGCGATGACTCTTATCAAGATTTGTTTCTCGAACCCTAGTTCTTAACATCCTTGCGGTTGTGGTTGCAAATCACCAAAGTTGGTTAAAGGTTCTTCTTTAGGGTGTCATGTCTTGTATATGCTCTTTTTGTAAGTTTAGTGTTTGTGTTTTACCATGTTCTTGATTTTTTTTGGGAGCATAATCAACCGTGAACTGTGCTTTGTTTTGTGTTATGGATGTACACGATTCCCTGCTCGATTCTCTTTTCCTGGATTATCATTTCTCAGCCATTCCCTTTCACTATCTTAGCAGGGAAAGAACGAGGAGGAGGAATTCAACACTGGACCACTCTCTGTTCTGATGATGAGCGTTAAAAACAACACCCAGGTATGCTGCAGATCTTGGTTTAGCAGTTAAAATGGATTATGACAAGCAATTTTACCGTTCATCCAACAGCTTGTTTCGATAAGTTTGTGGATTCATGGCATGATATACACCATCTTAATTTTCTCATTTTAGGTGTTAATCAACTGCCGGAACAACAGGAAACTTCTTGGGCGAGTAAGGGCGTTTGACAGACATTGCAACATGGTTCTTGAGAATGTCAGAGAAATGTGGACTGAGGTAATCCAAGTTCTCAACAGAGCCACTCTGTGCCCATAATACAAACTTTGTTCATGCAGTCAAATGACTGACCGTGTCTCTTGGCTTTAGGTTCCAAAGACAGGAAAAGGAAAGAAGAAGGCCCTTCCTGTCAACAGGGATAGGTTCATCAGCAAGATGTTTCTCCGAGGAGACTCTGTGATTATTGTTCTCCGGAATCCCAAGTAAAAGGCTAAGAGGTCAACACCTTTATGGTTTTCACGGCATGAGCTTCTGTAGGTAAGTGTGCTAAATCGAGAATTCTGTGTGACCGCAAATGTTTTCAGACCCAGAAATTGTCTAAGAGTGAGTTTCTGTTCTCGTGGAGTTTCATTAACGTTGTCTTGTTTCTTTCTATTAAATCAAAATCAATCGTTCAAAAGAGAAGTGCTCGTCCAAAAAAAAAATGCGAATGTCTGTAAATAGCAACCAAAAAAAAAAAAAGATTTGAAGTCGTGGTGAGGCTGGGCAGCCCCACCTTCCGCTAAGTTTATACGAATAGTAACCAAAATCAGAATAACATAGAAAGAGAAAAAAAAGAGAAGCGAAGCGATCTCTCCTCGTCTCGGGCATGGCGCTACCACTGGGCCGGGCCGGTGCGAAAGAGTCGTCAGCCAGAAGAAAGTGTGTGGTCTCAGGCTCAAGCTCAGGCGGATGATGAGGTGGTGGAGGAACCACCATCCTTGTGGTCGCCGAAGATACGTTGGCGGAAGTCTTTCACCATGAGAGGGAGACCGTTACGTAGAGAGACCTTAGGCTCCCAACCAAGAAGCTCTTTGGCCCTCGTGATGTCTGGTTTCCTCTTGTGTGGATCGTCTTCTGTGTTTGGTCTGAACTCTATCTTCGCATTCGGGTCTATCGTCTCTTGCACCACCTGCCCACCACCACCATCCAATTCTCTCACTATGTCTTAAAATATGCATTTGGAGCAGATAAACGGATCCAATTGCGACCCAAAAAAAAAACGGCAATGAATGTATGTATAGCAGAGAGAAGAGGGAAGAACCTGAGCGAGGTCAAGCATGGTGAATTCACCAGGGTTCCCCAGGTTGAAAGGCCCGACATGTTCTCCCTCCATCAACCTCATCAGTCCCTCCACCTGTTTCATCCCACCACACACACACACAAAAAAAAAAAAACAGTACATACATATAAGCAAACAAATTAAGAGATGGTGTCCCTTTGCTTCATTAAGATTGATGGACCCATTCGGTCCTTTTTCACATGACGCCCATCTCAAGATATGCTACACACATCCAACAACTGTTTAGGTTTCCACTTTTACTTGGAGGGCCTGGGACCATGTCTCCCAAGACTTGGGGTCTCCCTCTTTAAGTGTATGTTGGATTGCATCTCATATGTATAGATTCATACCATCAGCACACGTCCGTATTACTACCCCCGCGTACGTATAATATTTATAAATGGAGAGAGAGAGAGATGTGATGAATTTGTGATATAAAAAGCATAAAAGCCTAATAATGTACACAACCCATCAAAGATACATTAGAATATGAGGAGTCCATGTTGGCAAAATTTGTAGCAGCAGCCCTTCATTGAATCTTAAATTTTGTATTAAAAAAAATTGTTCTTTCAGGAGGAAAAGTAAAACTCTTACCAGGTCAGAAACATATTGGAAACTCCTTGTCTGCTTCCCATCACCATAAACAGTCAATGGCTCTTTTCTTAGTGCCTGCACCAATTATGACCCACTTAAAATTGAAAAAAATATCATTTGTCAAATCATCAAACAAATTAACCTTTCATCATGCCATCGCATCATTATCTATCCACAACCCTTTTCCATTGCCAAGTCTCACCTGAGCAACGAAGTTGCTGACCACACGACCGTCATCTATGCACATCCTTGGACCGTAGGTGTTGAAGATACGTGCAATCCTGACCTGTATAACCCATCAAAGTAACACAGATTTAATGCTAAAAAAAATATATATGTTCCTCGCCTGGATCATCATCATGGGCATTATTGTACTTGGCCGAGGGGGAAAAAATGGCCAAACTGACCTCAACGCTGGCACCTCTATGGTAGTCCATGGTCAGCGTTTCGGCTGTCCGCTTTCCCTCGTCATAGCAACTCCTAACACCTGTTTCAGCATTCCCACAATGCGGTCATAACCATGTTTCATCAGCCACCACAAAATGATTTCACACGTTGTTTTTGGAAAGAAAAAAAAAATCAGTTTGCAAGTGCAGTAATATGCATTGAAAATTGAAAGAAAGAATGTAGAGAGAAAACGGACAAGAACTACACGTTTTTCCAACGAGTTAAAAAGTCTAACGTTTTCACTCGCAATTACAATTTCCCAAAAAAAACTGAAAAATTGGAGCTTTTTCCAATGCTCCGTCGGCAATTAATGCGCGAACGGGTGGAAATGTAAAAGAAGAACGGAAATTATCGCACGCGGTGCGTATAAGATAGGGGCACGTATCAGAGCGAAGACCCTTTACGGTTCGATCGTTGTCCGTACATCGCGGGACCAGATCTGAGAAAAGCACATGGCTAACCTCACCATAAAACTCCTGTTTCAATCTTCCGACAAGGACAAAGGAAAAAAATCGAAAACAAAACCCCGAGAAAGTGAGGTCAAAAGTGACTCATCAAAAACGCCGTCGTGTCTCGTTTCGGAGGTTGGAACTAAAACGCGCGTTTTCGGATTCGGAATTCCCATCATAGAGGGCACACATGAACAATGGAATCGAAACAAGAAAACGTAAAGCGAACGGTATAAAATTGTTGAGCAATTGAAAAATGGAGCTGATTAAGGAAATGGATAGGAAGATAATTGGGGTTACCGATGGGATTAACGTTGCCCCAGTAAGTCTCCACCTGCGGGTGCTGAAGAGGATCTCCGTACACCTCGCTGGTACTCGTCAGAAGAAATCTGGCTCCGACCCTCTTCGCCAGACCCAGCATGTTCAGCGTTCCCACCACATTCGTCTTGTATGACCCCTCTCGAGTCAAGGAACAACACCAACAACGAACACAACAACAAATTGGAAACCAGGATTCAAAATCCATGACCCAGGTTCAGAATTCGGGAAACTGTAAATTGAAAGCGAGAATTCAAAAGGATATGATGGTCTTGACGGGATTGAACTTGTAGTGGACAGGAGAAGCAGGGCAGGCCAAGTGATAGATCTGATCTACCTCCAGGAGGAGCGGCTCAACAACGTCGTGACGGATGAGTTCAAAATTCGGGTTGCCGAAGTGGTGCATCACGTTCTCTTTCCGACCCGTGAAGAAGTTGTCAACGACGATCACGCTGTCCCCTCTCGCGATCAGACGGTCCACGAGGTGCGACCCGACGAACCCTGCCCCACCGGTCACCACGACCCGGAGACCCTTGCGTTTCAACCCAAGAGGAATCTTGCCGCCCGCCGACCCGATCCGGTTCAGATACTCGAGGCTAGGCTTCCTCTGCGACTGGAACGCCGTGATGTACGAAGAGTCCGATCCGAGCCCGTACCCAGAAAGCGGATCCGTGTAGGGGATGGGTTGAGTCGAACGAGGGAAAACCGTGAAACCCAAGGTGGCGATGGCAATGCCTACGAGGACGAAGACGAGCCTCTGTTCCCGGAGCATGTAACGGATCGGACGAGTCACGACAAACCATGGCTTTATGGGTTTCGGGTAATAAGCTTCGGCGGCTGGCTGGTCCGTCTCGTGTCGCCGGTAGATCAGCTCGGAGGCCATCTTCTTCTTCTCGCCGTCTCCTTCCTCAATTCAAACTTGAGAACACACACGGTAATTTTGGATCCAGAATCGAGAGAGAGAGAGAAAGAAATGAATCGTACCGAAAAATTTTCGGGTTGTCTTTAATTGCTGCGAAAAACTCCGAGTCGAACTCGCCGGGGACTGAGTCGAGCTTGAGCGGTAGTGAAAGAGGTGAATGCGTTTTGTGTATTTAACTAGAGGAGGCGTTACAGTCAAGGCTCGTTTTGCATCTTTATTACAGTAATGCCCCTGCAATTACTTATTTTTGTTATTTAATAGATCGTTTGAAAAGTAAACGATCTATTATCTAATTATATGGCTATTATTTATTTATTTTCTTAGACCCACATTTCAGATTCGGGAAATTGCTGTTTCTTGGTTTTCTTTTGCATATTTTTTTTTAGTTTTTCACATTAAACATATATTTGTTTTCCTTTGTAAAACTTATTTCTATGATGGTCATAAAGTCCATTCCGTAAACAGATTAATGTTTGAGATTTTAATAAATCCAGTGATATTTTCCATATACTGCTCACCGTTCAATTATATGTAAGTGTATATAAATATCAAACCAATGTTTTTATTTTATTTTTGGTTCAGATCAATTCCAATAATACGGCTTTAAACATTCCTTATTTACATCTAATACAAAAAATGTTGACCTCTCAGGAAAAATTATATTATCTGAACTCGGAATTTCCTTGAAAAAATAAAAATAGTAAAAAAAACTCCTGAAGGAACAAAAATGGGTAATTCAGCAGATCCTGAATATATATATATATGTGTGTGTGTGTGTGTGTGGACACCGCAGGAAGTGTTGAAAAATATTCATAGTTTAAACGTTTGTATATAAACTCGAGATCAATAAAGAATGTCATTCATCCATATAGTTTTAATATTTTAATTTAACTAAGAATTTGTCGAAATGATTTTACATTTAAAAAAAAACTTAAATGTTCAATACAAACATTTGTCATGAAAATTGTATATAAAAAACCAATCGCAAGATTCATTGTTCAACATTCGTTCGATGACTCGATATTTCATAATATAGTGATTTACACAACAATTCAAACTTTAATTATTTTTATCTTAGTTTTTATTTATTAACATAACATTTTCAATGCCATATAATCCTTATTTTGTACTTAAATAATTTAATTAGAAGTCTAAAATATAGGAAACAAATACTCTCACAATAAATTAACGGCGTAAACTCTTGATGTATAATTTACACTATTTGCAATATTAAGAAGGAAAAAAAACAAATATATTAGTCTCTAGTGTAGTTTCAAGAGGAGGCAATCAAGTGTGTTAAATTAAATAGGTGCATTAGGGTTGGTTTATAATGTCAATGGCTGCACCTAATTTACACTCAAAGCTAATTTGGTGGCCACTTTGAGTTATTTCGACGTTTTTTTTTTCTCTCTAATGCAATTTATTCAATATATGCCGAACCTAACATAATAAATTATCTTTGAAACATTTCCCGACTGTTACATCACTCTTTCGTTACTGAAACATATCGATTAAAAATGTTAAATTACGTCAGTTTTTTTTTTTTGGAGTGGTGAATTCTATACTCTATTTTTTCATTATAATTATTTTCGTAATGGCAGTAAGCATATGGTGGAGACAACATTTGGTACCGTTGGTCACAGAGAAAGACAAAAGGCACGAAGAAAAATAAAATGAAAACAGGTTGGACGGACAGAGACAAATTAACACACAATATTTTGAGATTAATGGCATCGTTTTTTTTATTAATTATCACACAATGAAAAAAAAAAACATCACACTCGTACATAAATGACATTAAAATGGTACTTAAACGAGGTTGAAAAGGTAATTAATTAAATATCTGGATTAAATGATATTTAAAAAAAGCGTAATCATGAATGGTTTATAGAGGGAAAATGACGAAAAGGGGCCTCACTCACGAGGAAAGTGCGGAATGGGCACGTCGGGGGAGCATTGGACGTGAAGCAACGTTGACGCACAAAGAGAACACGTGGCGCTCCCACGTTTTCTGCATTCTCCGGACGTTATATAGTGGGAAACAAATGAGGTAGTAGATGCGCATGTTTTGGACCGTCTTCCATATGATTTTGCATTTGTACTATTAATGATTAAATAACTAAACTAATACACGGGAATATGTTTGTTGACGTCCAAAACTAAATGGAAGGGGACTCGCTAACTAAAAGATTCTCGAAATGGGTCCACAAGGTCAGACTTTTATTTTTTGCAAAATAATTATTTTCTAAATTTACGACCGGAATTCCCAAATAGAAATATATTTTTGTTTGGCAAAAATAAATAAATAAATAAAGGTATATTCGAGTTCCCCATGTTCTGATTGGTTATGAAATTATGATGGGCCCCACATACAAAGAAAAGAAATTATAACGGGCCATGTTAGGCCTTTATAGTCCACCAAAGGGATATCAGAGAATAGCCCACGGGCCGTACTACGATCCAATTAGAGAAACCCGAACAGTGAAGAAGATGTGACCCGTTGCTTAATTTCACGTCATTCATGATCGGGTTAGAATGGCGTCGATTTCTGGATCGATTTCAGCGAATGCATGTCCCGTTGCAGACAGCGCATGAAATCCATTTCTGCTCCGGAGATTCCGATGAACATATCGGTCCTCGTCCTTGCGTTTCGCCGAAGATTCTGTTTGTTCGGCGGAGATTCTCTCGGGATTCCGGAATCTGTCCCGCGGGATTGCTTCCCTCCATCTCGCCATCCTCACTGTGAGGT